ACATCATTAGCACTTTGCATAAGTTCTTTTTGAAGAACCAGATAAAAATGTTAGCTGTACTTAAATGTTTCAGAGCAGCTGCTTGAGAACAATTCTGCTTTGCCTAATACTATTTGTTTTTAATATTCATTTAACACCCAAAAATATTTCTGTAATATAATATTATGATTAACTAGGAAAAGCAGCAGAAACTGTAATTACTACCATGTGCTTGGAAGTAAAAGTAAACAGAGACAGAAAAAACAAATACTAAAGTATTACTGAGATATCAAACTTTACAGGGCAACTTACTCAAGGTTAATTATGCATCATAATATTGCTAGAGACCAGGTTCAAAATAGTATGCATGTCTAATATATATTCATGATAAACATGCAAAAAATTGTTGTAGAACTGGGGTTTTTAGTAGTTGCACACGTGAAATTGGGTACTGAACTGGCAAAAATGTATCATAACAAAAACAACTGGTGACTACTAACTAAAGATTAGTAACTTCCGACACCAAATTTTACATTCAGTAATGAAGGCCTAGTAACTGCTTAGCCATTACAAGATATTTGGGAAAAACTGAACTCCACACAGTTTTCAGAGCATTAAACAATTTTAAGTTTATACTGTATAAAATCAAAGATAATTAAGAACACTGTTAATTACACATGACTCAAGTAAATGAATACTGAATGACCTTTTCACTTCAATGCTCAGGTTTCATGCAAATAAATTTTATTTTCAGTGTAAATGAATTTGAGATCAAGTCATGTACACATGTAGAAAACTAAGGCTTACTACTAAAACTTCATGTGGGAAATAGGCCTTGTATGCTAACTACAATACACTGAATAGTCTTACAACAGCATGGTCATCTGAGCTATATCACTTACATTATAACAGCCTCATAAAATTGTGAAGATTACTCACCAATCCTGATAAAGAAGTAGTTAAATATCTAACAGTAGTACAACACTTGGAACTAATTTGACAGCTAATATTGAGCAGAGCCTTGATTAAGCTAAAATTGCTGGTATCCAGTTTCTGTAATGAGCTAGTAACCTTAAATAACACAAAATCTGTTTAGGCTAAGAAAAATTCCACTACTACCACTCTGAGCTGAACCCAAAATTTAGCAATCACACTTGAATATAATTTTACAAAAAAAATTTATGCTTTTAAAAACCTATCATAAAAGATGGTGATTTGAAAGGTAATCCACAAGTGTAAGTTGTACTTCAGTTTTATTAACTGGGTACAAATAAAACTTAAATTATGGAGTAATCTACCAATGGTAGATTATCATATTTCTACACTGAATCAACACCTAATATAATATGTGGCATACAACAAAAAGGTAACAAAGAACAGCAGGATATCTAAAACAGAATACTGTTTCCAGATTAACAAAGTTGCAATCAGTACAAGGCTAAATGCCTGTTTTAATTTTATTATTTGACAATGTTCCACAAGTCCTATAACACTAAATTTCAAACAAACTTTTCAACAAAGTACTAACATTATTAAATATCTATGATACAATCTATGAGGATATCCTATATACTAAAAAGAAAAAAAACGTTTAAAATATTATTGCAAACACAATTTAATGAAGTATATGGCACTAATACACCTTTTATTTTAATACGTATCAAATAATAAAATGCAAAATGTATCAGAAAAGCCATTTAATATTATCATATAAAGCTTTTTTTTTAATTCTATTAATCAAATGCTTAATACTGATTTGTACATTGGATCCAAATTAGATCTCATTAGTTTGGACAAAGTGAAATTTAGCATCTTTCACACATCTCATGATTAATAAATTTTGGAGTGCTTAAAAAAGGTCATTACCAATCCTGGGAATAAATTAGGAATATTCCTTTAGATACATTTCTTTTTAATGGATATAATGTTTTTCAAGATTATGATGACTGCGTATCATTTTTTATTTTACCTCCTCAAATGTTTTTTATTTCTTTTTCAAGCATAATGAAAAATAGGCATCAGAAGAATAGATAATCTCCCAACCATTAGCTTTTTATTTTTGCAAGTCTCCGTGTGTGTATATATTTTGTACTTTTGTATAGAAAACATATTTTCACTTTCTTAAATGACAATCTTTGACATTTTGACCTCAAAATCAACAAGGTTCTTCTCCAGCTTGTTAGTTTGAATGAAATATACTGTTTAAAAGTAGTGTGGAGATCAACTGTCAGATGGATAGACAGACATAACTGCTGTATTTCCCTGAACCTTTTCAGTTGTGGTATAAAAAGGGAATTTTTTTTAACACTAACAAATGTCAGTTGGGATTTTTATATCATGTATGCAATAAAACATATTACAAATAATTCAGTTCTTCCCATTCTTTTCCTTCAACAAATTAAAGGTGAAACAAAACTCATTTTGATTAGATATTACCTGGCGAGATTGGCTAATGTGAAAAATCTGAAAAATTAACTATAAAGTGGCAGGTGCCACTAAAACAATTTTTTTAAAGATAAGGGCAATTAAAATTAGATGCATTTCCTGGCAAAAATAAGCTACAATAAATTAATACATTCTTTGATAACACTTACAAGTTATTCCATTTTAAAGCTGACTGTCATGAGAATTGACTTGTGACACTCACTAGAAGTACTAATTAATTCAGGCATTCCCAAAATGTGGAGCTAAACCTCTGGGGAACCACATGAATGCTCTTTAGGAGGGGGGGGGGGTTATAGCAAATTACAATTAGTTAACAAAAGATAAATTACATGCGAAATATTCAAAAGCAAAGCTGAAACAGTTAAATGAACAAATCTTAAAACATTCTTTAAATATGTTGTTTGCAATGAAAGTAAGGTACTAAGTATGTATAGATTCATTAAGTGGGAGCCTTAGTCACAATGCAGAATGTTTCGTGAGGGCCTTATGCTAAGTTTAAGAACCCCTGACTTAGTTAAAAGCTTCCACTAAGTATATAGTTTTAGTTCTAAAATTCCACAGTCCCAAATTTCTCATCTTTAAAATTTTAAACATGTAAATCACTTTCTAAAACTATACTTGTGTATTAAATGCAAACTTCCTATGCTTTTGTAATGGACCTATAACTTACAGATCATAATACAGTACTAACGAGACTTATACTGATCACACTCACAATTTTTCAATCATCATGAATTTTCCCAGTGTTAGGGAATGCTTGAAAGTTAATGGTAAAACCTTTTGCCATCTTCTCAATTCTTTTAAGATTTTCACAAATTTCTCAGGTACAGAAACTTTATTTGTTGATAATCATATAATCTGTGAAAAATTCCACCTTCTACTTAAATAAATTGCTCAAATTAAGTATTTCTTCTCTCTTTCATCAATAAAAACAAATGTTTCCCCTTTCCACAAAATAATATCTCATACTGGCTTTTCTTACAAGTTCAATAGCGGCTTTGATCTTCAATTCAAATATGATGTTCCGATTTCATACTTTCATAGTCTAAAGGATTCTTTGCATTTTTCCTTCTTTAATTTTGATAAACATTAGCATCCTATATTATATGCAAGTTGTGTATTCTTGTAGTTTCAGATTTTTTTCACAAAAAATGTCCCTATGATCCATCTCAAAATTAACCATTATTTAGACAACAAGGCTTTTGAGTGTGGGTGTTCCTCTTCAGCTTGATGGTCAAACTTATCTTATAATTATATATATATATATATATATATATA